AAGTTATTTATGAAACAATCAAAATTCACTCGAAATTCAGAAAATCTGATTAGATCGTTATCATTTTGATGAATATCAAGGGTTGCGACATGCGAACTTAGAAATCAGAATAAAAGAGATAATCAGGTAGTAGTACTAGGTCAACTTGAAGCCAATTTTCATGGAACAACCAAATCAGAACACACTTTCGATTATCATGGAACAACCAAATTAGAAAGCACTATTGGACTCGAAGCCCTGAGATCGTGTCGACACTCAAAACTCCATCACCCACAACAGACTTCTGTTGAGACAACGATATCAATAGAAAAATTTCCACGAGAAATGAAAGTTGAAAAAACATTCCATAAAAACAAAATCCTTCATATTATAAATTATCATTTCAATGTTCGTCCAATTCTAAAATTTACTATTTTATTTGATAAATTTCTGTCTAAATATGAGTTTTTCATTCCAACTACATCTATTTGTTCAAGATGGAATGAAAGACTTGACGAGTTTATGAAATGTTTTAATTAAACTTTCATTCTATTACAATAAATATCTTCTAATTTAGATTGGATTAACCTGTTTATGACAAAAATCCTTACTTAGAATGACCGTCCAATTAAAATATTTCATGAACTCATCCAGGCTTTCATTCCATCTCTAGCATGCAGTTTAAATAAGAAGGGATACCCTATTCTTGGGAAAAAAGTTTTCAAGTAAGAAGAAAAATTGTAAAATTGGTATAACATTTTTTAAGATGGAATGAAAATTTGAAATGTAGAATGTAATTTTACTGTAGAATGATTATTTAATTCTGGGAAATTTTTCTGTTGATGTCAAATTGAAAAAAGAAGGCATCTCGAATCAGGTCGTCAATGTCCTCCTTCCTCCTTGAATCCATATTCTTCTATGAAGAGTCCCTCGAAAAACTCTCTCTGCCTCTCCTTCATCCACCTACCATCACTTGAACTCGACCCCACCATCTTTGGGAGGGAAACGCCAAGCCTCCCTCCAACTGTCAGCTATGACATCTGTCAGCATTGACAGCCTTAGCTGCCGACCACAGTGTCGACGACAACAACGAAGATATCAACGGTCATCCACAACCCTACAAAATAATGGATGGTGTGGTGACGCCTCATCAAGCCCGTTGACGAGTTACCACAGGAGATTCAAGTCGCAGCAGAACCCTTTGTTCGTCACTTCACACAGTGTAAATGAAGGAGGACAGAGGAAACAAAGCTACCAACCACGAATCCTCATGTGACATCATCGTCAACCTCTCCTCGTGCGGCGGCGTCACCGGCATCTCGATGCGAGCCACTTGCGCCGCCATACGTCCTCACCCGGTCACTTCGTTGGGCAATCCCTCACGAGGCCGGCGGCTCAACACCCCAGCGCCCCTCCTGTCTTACCACTCCCGCGGGCCAAAATCCGGGTACGGGCTGCGCAACGCTCCTTGTCGCGCTGCACTGCGATGCCTTAAACAAACATCCAATGACGAGATGTCATCCTCGTAGGGCCTCAACATCAACGTTTTCAAAAGTCGACAAAATAAAAGGGGCATGGTCCTGAATCCTGAACCTCGGGAAGGGTGTGGGTATGGGTCTGTCTCCTGGATATGAATCTGGGTCATGGTTAGGGACTACGGTTTTACAAAGAGACGGGTGATAGTTAGCAAAAATAATAGTTTTATGTGGCAACTTTGGTCATTTTTTGCACTCTGAATAATGCACAAGGCAATCGAAAAAATTAAGATCGTTTAGATTAGGTTGTGATCTCCCAAGCAAAAATATCCCAAAACAATATAAAAGTTCATTTTGACGGTGAAAATTTTGTCATGTCATTTTGGTGCATTCATAATTTTTGCCACTTTAGCATGTGTCGGCGGGAAAAGTATTGCAATTTCACTGATTTTTCGCGTTAAAATTCTTTAGAAGAATGAGCTAAAAAATAAGATAGTTGCAAGGCAACCGATTTCATTTTTATCTTTCCGTAATCATTTCGACTATGAAATAATCACCTCGCGAATTCGACACTTTCTCCCATTTTCGCCATTATACCATGTGCCGGCCAAGAGAAAAGTACCGCACCTCCTGTGATTTTTTTAGCTCAAAAGTAAGAAAAATATAAAAATTGAAGAGTCTTTCGATGTTGTTGTGATCTTTTTACGAAAATATTAATATAAAAAAAATAAAAATCGTTTTGGCTGCAAAATGCAGAGCGACGACAATTCGACAAATTTTTCATTTTTGTTATTCAACTGTTTTTTCACACTCTGCAAGGTTAGGGTTTGGACACACAGACAGATCCTGACGTGCCAACTGCCTAACATGGGACACACTTAAAAACAAAAAGGGTCGCCAAAATCACACACGGACCTAATCTCCCTCAATGGTTATCTCATCGACCAGTTGGGTTTCTCAAATCCGTACATGGGTTCAAACCCCAATTACAATGGTTAGCAATAAGCTTTAAAAAAATAATATATGTGTGTCAATGGATGAAAGGGTGAGTGAGCATGCATAGGTGGGTGGGCGGGTAGGCGCCCTCTCTCTTTTCCTCATCCTTTTTCAATGGGAAAACCAACCGGACCCGCAACCAAATGGAAAAAAAAAAACAAAAGGGGCACAAAATAACGTCTAGCGAAAAAAAAAAAGAAAAAAAAAAAGGACATAAAATAACGGGCGGAAAAAAAAAAGGGGCACAAAACAACGAGCGGGAAAATAAAACAGAAAAGGGGGAAAATGACAGGCGGGAAAAAAAAAAAAAAGGGGGAGTAAAATGACAGACGGAAAAACGAAAAAAAAGAAATAGGGGAGCAAAGCGGGAAAAAAAAAAAGGGGGAGTAAAATGACAGACGGGAAAACGAAAAAAAAGAAATAGGGGAGCAAAGAGGGAAAAAAAAAAAGGAGGAGTAAAATGATTGACAGGAAAACGAAGAAAAAGAAATAGGGGAGCAAAACAACGCCCAAATACTATCAGATGACTCTCCTTCCAAGATATTTGTCCACATAAAAGTCCGTCAAGTGCCCCGCTCCTAGAGTGCGCTCTCTCATTCAATGCCATGTTGTGAGCGTTTCGGTATGCGTGGCTCTCTGCCCGATCCCCCGCACTCGATCATCTTCATCTGCCAGCCTTCTCAAAAACTTCAAACCAAATCCGGCATGCAGCGGACAACTCAGCCAATAATGCTTAAGGGATCTCTCTCTCTCTCTATATACATGTATATAATATTATACATATATGTAATATTATACATCACTACGCGGCCATGCTGTGCCTCTAGTGTCAGCGGCGTGTCTGGAGTGTATTTTTTGGCTGTGACAGTCCTTTCTTTGTTTCGTGGGTGTTTTGCTGGCTTGTGATGGGGTGTGAACTGACAGTCTGTAGAGTTTTCCATCTGGTGTGGGTGAGCGATAGTCTACTTTGATTTTGGTTAAGGTGGATTATCACTTACAGTGTAATCAGTGAGGGGATTCTACAGACTGTTGAGGGTTCAGCCTCCTGATGAGTCGGTGAAACTCCGACGAAACAGTTTGT